CCCGGCCATTTTTTGGTTGCAGCCATCATTGTTGTTTGGCGGGTCCGGGCTGGGGATTCGAACCCGCCACCTTAGGTGTACGTGGCTGGCGCCCTAGCCGGTTGAGCCACAGGCGCCGAGCCACAGAATCCTTTTTACTGCGAACCAGTTTCCAGGGGCAAATCCTATTCCCCACCCCCAGTGAGACCATGTGACCTTGAAGATTTTGATGGTGCTTCTTCCGCTTTAAATCGTGACAGGCCGGCCAGCATCCCTGGGCACGTGGGAAACCTTCTATTTGCTGGGCACGTGTGTGAACGGTATTCTCCTAACAGCCCTGTGAGGTCAGTGGTTTTAGCCCTATTTTAAAGAGAAGGAAACTAAGGCTCAGAGAAGTCCAATACCACATGGCCAGTCTGCAGAGGAACTGGATTCAAACTCAAGCCTCTCTGATTTCCTAGACACTTGTCTCGAAGGATCATAAGCTTGCAAAGAAGCTCAAGTCATCTACTTAACAGTTGTCATTAATCAACAACTGTTTAATGACACGGGGATGTGTTAGCACCTATGAGGCCTTGGGGACACACTGTGTGTTCTGAGGGCGCTCATGATTCACCAGGGGCACAGAGGAGGTTTGTTTATTTATTTATTTATAGACGGAGTCTCACTCTGTTGCCTTGAGTAGAGTGCTGTGACATCAATATAGCTCACAGCAACCTTAAACTCCTGGGCTTGAGCAATCCTCTTGCCTCAGCCTCCTGAGTAGCTGGGATGTACCACTACGCCTAGCTAGTTTTTTTTTGCGGGGGGGGGTTGTTTTGAGACAGAGCCTCAAGCTTTAGCCCTGGGTAGAGTGCCATGCGGTCACAGCTCACAGTTTAAACCTCAAACTCCTGGGCTTAAGCAATTCTCTTGCCTCAGCCTCCCGAGTAGCTGGGACCACAGGCGCCCGCCACAATGCCTGGCTATTTTTTAGTTGTAGTTGTCATTGTTTGGCAGGCCTAAGCTGGATTCAAACCCACCAGCTCTGGTGTATGTGGCTGGCGCTTTAGCCGCTTGAGCTACAGGCACCACCACTTGCTAGCTTTTGATTTTTAATAGAGATAGGGTCTCTCTCTTGCTTAGGCTGATTTTGAACTCCTGATCTCAAGCAATCCACCTGCCTGGGCCTCCCAGAGTGCTAGGATTAGAGGCATGAGCCACCATGCCCGGCTGGCCTAGAGCAATACATTTGATAGCTGCTGACTCAAATCCTCGCTTCCTCCTCCTCCCCTCCGGGTTCTTCCTGCAGCTAGACCCACACCCCCACAGTGCAAGACCTCAGCTCCCAGGTGACCTCCGCCCCAGATGCAGCTCTGATCTCCCAGGGGACTGAGGCTTTCACGTGGCACAGAGAAGTCCGGGCTGTGGCCAAGTCCCTCTCTCTTCCCTTGGAGTTCCTCTGCTCTCCCTCACCTCTCTCCCACTCGGGTTCTCCTAACCCCTGTTTCTCTGAGCCATCTGGGGGAAATCTCCCTCCCACCCATCTAACTCCTCAAACACGCCTCCCATTGTCCACCGTCTCCACCTCAGAACGTGCAGTCTCGATCTTGGAATTTTGGAGCCTCAATATTCCACAAACTAAATTTCTAAGGGGGAGCAGAGGGAATCAAGCCCCCCATCCATCCCTATTTGGAGCTTGCTAACTGTGAGAATTTAGACAAGTGAGGGGAGCCCCAACCCCAGCAGAGGGGCAGAGAATTCCAGGACAGATTTTGGAGAGGGCTTGGCAAATACAGACTATGTCCCCCTTTCAGATCATTTGATAAAGCTTTTTTTTGTTGAAAGCTTTATTGAGATTTAATTCACTACCCATACAATGTACCCATTTAAAGCGTACAGTTCAACGGCTTTTAGTATATTCACAGAATTGTATAATCATCGCAATTTTAGAACATTTTTGTCACCTCCAAAAGAAATCCCATACCCGGCTCGGCGCCTATGGCTCAACCGGCTAAGGCGCCAGCCACGTACACCTAGGGTGGCGGGTTCGAATCCCCAGCCCGGACCCGCCAAACAACAATGATGGCTGCAACCAAAAAATAGCCAGGCGCTGTGGCGGGCGCCTGTGGTCCCAGCTACTTGGGAGGCAGAGGCAGGAGACTCGCTTGAGCCCAGGAGTTGGAGGTTGCTGTGAGCTGTAATGCCACGGCACTCTACCCAGGGGGACAGCTTGAGGCTCTGTCTCAAAAAAAAAAAAAAAAAAAGAAATCCCATACCCATCACTTCTGATGTTCCCACTATGCCCCTCCCCAACCTCCCAGCCCTAGGTAACCACTAATCTACTTTCTGTCTTTATAGATTTGTCTATTCTGGAAATTTCATATAAATGGAATCATACAATATGTGGTCCTTGGTGAGTGGCTTCTTTCATTTAACATAATTTTTTTCCTATTCTTTTTCCTGATCAAATACCTCAGATTGTATGCATAATGTTTTCTGTGTTCTTCCATGTTGTAGCATGTATCAGAATTGCATTCATTTTTATGATTGAGTAATATTCCATTGTATGGACATACCACATTTTCTTATCTATTTATAGATATATATATATTATATATATATTTTTTGAGATAGAGTCTTACTTTGTCACGCTCAATAGAGTGCCACAGTGTCATAGCTCACAGCAACCTCAAACTCTTGGGCTCAAGTGATTCTCTTGCCTCAGCCTCTTGAGTAGCTAGGACTACAGGGGCTCGCCAGACGGCCCAGCTATTTTTTTTTAGAGACAGGGTCTCACTCTGGCTCAGGCTAGTCTCAAACTGCTGAGCTCAAGCAATACACTCACCTCGGTCTCCCAGAGTGCTAGGATTACAGGCGTTGTCTATAAATTGATAGGAATATGAGTAATTTCTGCTGTCTAGCTATTATGAATAATGCTGCTATGAACTTTTTTTTCTTTTTTGAGACAGAGTTTCACTCTGTCACCCTGGGTAGAGTGTAATGGCATCATAGCTCATAGTAGCCTCTAACTCTTGGGCTTAAGTGATCCTTCCGAGTAGCTGGGACTACAGGTGCCTCCCAGAACATCCAATTAGTTTTTCTGTTTTTCGTAGAAATGGGGTCTTGCTTTGCTAAGGCTGTTCTCGAACCCCTAAGCCCAGGCGATCCACCTGCCTGAGCTTCCCAGAGTGCTAGAATTACAGGCATGAGCCACCATGCCCAGCTGCTAAGAAGTTTTGTGTGCAAGTGTTTTAAGAGAACATATGTTTTCATTTCTTTTGGGTATATACCTAGAAGTGAAATTACTAGCTCATATGGTAACTCTGTTTAGCCCCTTGAGTCATTGATAAGCTTTTCCAAAGTGTTCAAATTTTTTATATCCTCTCCAACACTTGTTACCCCCTTTCTCTTTCATTATAGACATTCTAGGGGGTATGGGTGTAAAGTCTTACCTCATGTAATTTTATTTGCATTTCCCTAATGGCCAATGATGTTGGACATCTTTCCATGTGCTCAATGGCCACTCGTCTATCTTTTTATGGACAAAAATGTCTATTCACAGTCTTTCCCCTTTTACATTGAGTTTTCTTTTTGTTATGCATGGTAATTGTTCCTTATAAACTCTAGATACAAGTCCCTAATAATATATATGATTTGCAACATTTTTCTCCCATTGTGTGAATTGCATTTTCAGTTGTTTTGTCTCTCAAAGCACACCAATTTCTAATTTTTGTTAAAGGCTCATTTACCTATTTTTTTTTTTTTTTGGTTGCATGTGCTTTTAGTGTCATATCTAAGAATCCATTTGAACTTTGTATTATAACATAAATCCAAAGTCATGGAGATTTATGCCTCTATTTTCTTCTAGGAGTTGTATAGTTTTAGCTCTTACCCTTAGGCCCGATCCATTGGAGTACTTTTGTATATGGTGTGAGGTAGGGCTC